TACCTAGAGTTCTTCTTGGAGGATTATTATTTGACAAATTGTGTCATTCATAACTTAAAGTAAAGGAGATCACAAATTGCGTTGAGATACTACATGACTACACGAAGTATTTGAGATGGTATGAGCATGTTGTTTGCATATTACTAGATACCTATCCAAATTGTAAAAGTGGTAATTATATCAGATAAGAACTTTATAGATACTTGTGTGAAAGACAACCAAGAGTAAAAGAACTTTAGAGTTCATCATTTTGTGGGATTCTGAGAATATAATACAATTGAGAACAAAATTCCATATATTTGTAACATCAGTTTAACAGGATTGATTAACTATTAAATGAAGCACGTCAATAGATCTGCTGATCTTCAACCTTGTTTCTACCATATCTGGAACAAAAAAATAGAATTTACACAAGAAGCTGCGCAAAATTGTTAAAATATTTTCAAAATGTGTAAGTAATAATAAACATTAAAATAATTACATGAAATAGACATTAATTGTAAACATAGTATTCATGCACGAATTTATTTTGTTATGTTTACATTTTAACTGATAAATAATTATTAGTATATGTTTTATATTATTACTGGTTTTAGATATTTAGAATATATTTTATCCTCGATAAAGTTGAGTGTTTTTTTTATTCATGGGTAAAAACGATGTGCTGTGTATATCTACTGTACCTGATAAGGAAACCTGTGAGCCCGACTGTTCGCCGCAATAAAGGGTGTTATTTCCCTCCACATAATGTAGGTATGTTCTGACCAATATTGCGTTTGAAATATTTTAAGGCTGATTACGGAAGTGGATGCGCGTATAATTGTAAAACCTTCAGCTTGTGCAGTTTTAAACCGTCTCTGGAAAGGAATAACAAAAATACATGTTATAATATACGTACCTGATCGACTGTTCGTACGATGTACTATAGACTTATGTAAATATCGATGTCAAATAACGATTATAGATACGTATAACGCGTAATCTTGTGCGTGTGTAGGTGGGCGAACGTATATGGTATGCGTATAACAGTAGTCTTTTGTGTCCACGCGCACGGCCATACAGGTTATAGCGTCGTATAATGTACCGACTTAAACACGTACAACGTGAACACTGTATGTATATATAAATGTATAAAATATATGATGTACTAAGGTATACGATAATACCGGTAAATGTGTTAATAAACTATATATTATAATAGCATAATTAACCCTGTAGTGACGACGGGAATGACCTCTTGCAAAAGTTTCCATACCTGATCTCGTCGAACAAAAACATATGTTTTATATAAAACGTTTAGGCGCATTCATTAAAACTTACAAACACACACACACACACACACACACACACGAATGAATATAGAATATTAATGTTTAAAACGGTGAATTGGTTGGTCGTAAATATTTCAATTAAATATTTATTTAAATAGTTAAATAGAAGTACAACTTTTTCACTTAAAAATCGATTTTGCCTTACGAAATTCATGCAATAATTATCTAAACTAATAATTTTGGACTGAAATTAATTATATTAATATTAAAATTATAAAATATATTGGTATTGATACAATATTAAAGTGTGTCCGTATCTCGTTACATTTTTTATCTAATATTATTATATTACGAATGAGTACTGTATACTCAGTAAATGTTAATGAAAACGTCATGGTTTGACAAAATAATTCATTGAGTAGTTTCGTTAACTAAAATTTCGAACGCTACACGTATATTTATGTTACACGTCGTATGTATGTAACTATACACAGAATATCTGTATTTGACGTAACAAAATATATTTGTTTGACAATTCACCGGACTTACTCGTTCTGTGAAACGCCACGAAAAAATAATAATTATTACCAGGACCGTGTATTAGGTGCTTCTTTCCATGCGTATTTTATTTTTCTATGCGCACTGCACCTGACATGCTAAAAACAGTCCTTTGACAACGATATCAGAATTCGATGTAAAAGATTAATAGGCAAGGAAAAAATATATTACCTATATGTTGAACGTGTACATATAAAATACATCGATGAATATATATATATATATATCATATTATATTTTCGCGACAAATGTCAAAATATTATTTTCATTTTCTCGGTTTCCTTACTACCATTTATCCAAAATGTTAACCATTCCAATTAACGTACTATTCTCTTTCATTTCATACCAGTATATAATAAAAGTGTTATATTTATTTCGTTTTCCTCGTTTTTCGCATCAACAAACACGCCAAGTTCGAAAGTTTCTACCTGGTTGTCTTTTATAATTTTTCAATTTCATTACATTCTTATGGAAAAGAAAAATATACTAAATTACTTTTTGCGAAAAAAAAATAAAAATAAAACAACCTTATTGTTTCGAAATACAACCAAGTATATTCGCAAACATTAATTTACTTTAAGAACAATAAGAGGGTTAATTATATTTTCTATACCCTTTAACAGCGTTTTTCTTCTTTCTCGCGTGCCGTAGAACTTTACTAATTTTAGAAAAAGATAATACAATGAGTTTTTGTAAACAACTTACCTGTATTATTATTTCATTTTGTTCAACATGATGATTGTCAATTTTATACAAGTATAAAAGTATACTTAAAAATAATAATAAAGTATCTCGCTGTGTACATTATTGTTCATAAAAGGTGCATGTACTTAAAAAAAATTTTTGTAAAATATAACACATCTGTGAACGCAAATGTAAATATCAAACTTTTCCGTTTTTTAAACAGTTACTAAACGATTTTCAACAGTTTCAAGTCAGTTTAACTACGGTAGAAAATTCAGTAAATTGTAACGGCGTTCATTGATGACCGATGTATAATATAAAAATTACATTCATTCAATATTATTTTCAAAACAATAAACTTATATTGTTAAACGCAAAAAATGTTTAACTCATACCTCTTTATCGAGTATTATATTTACTATTACCATAATTATTTTTATTGTTATTTAGTTTTATATACCTGCAGACTGGTAGCTTTTACAAAACGTTTATCACTGTTTGCTCAATATTCAACGCTTATATTATGGATCGCATTCAATAAAATAATTCCTTGTTTGCATTTTCCGCAGCATTATAGCTAAATCAATATTTACTTTGCCTTATTTGATAAAATATTTTTGTCCGTCATTATAAGAACACTGCAGCTTTTAAACAAACAGAAATTAATTAATATTTCCATGTAAAAAACACGAATAATCTGCGGGACCGAGACTGCAGCGGAAACCATATATAGGTGACATAAAGTCTACTTTTACTCGTGTAATCATTTGTACCCCGCAAATATTTTTTTTTAGCGAATATTATTAACTAACCTGAGCGAGCTATGGGGTTTTGGTAAACATGATGCTTTTAGACCCTGGGCCAATTTTATCCTTCAGGTACTATGGTTATGCTGCAACTACAGTGGTCCGATAGAATGTTTACGTGCAACATTCGGGAAAACGGAATGTAATGAATGTCCATTGGATCGAGAGAAGAACACCGCGATATCGATTTTAGTGCGAGTGTTGATTAAAGTTTTTGAAATTGTCAGTTCTGCAGTCGTGCAGCACTTGTGCGACTAAAAGGAAATATTTGCAACTGTGCTGCTTCACGTATATTTCCGAGCCTTTGCGGGATAATGTGAAAACGCGATTTCCGAAACCAGCGCCGTTCTTATGCAAATTCACTCTGGACGTGCACATCAGCGCCTACGTAAAGGCTCGTAAGCGTATGAGTCGCGTTTAAACAACGCGTGTGTATATGTGGACTCGAGCGAGCGTTTGTACGTGTACGCAGTGCTCAACTTGGCAAAATTAAAGAAAAGGGACTCTGTTTGCTTAAAAAAAAATTGTGTCCCCAACACTTGTTAAGCGTTATTATTATAACGTAATAATAGTAAGGGGACGCTAATGTTTCTAAAAATTAGAAGGGGTACTCCATCCCCCTGCGTCCCCCTTCAAGTCGAGTACAATACTTTCGGACGTTTGCTAGGCCGCAACATAACACACACACACAGTTCGTAGATGTATTTATTCGTCGGCAGCTTGCGGCATCGTAGCTCGTAATTTGCGGCTCTTCAGGATACATCAGCCTCAACGTCGAGGTAAAAGTTATGTAAGTACGGTTTGAAAAAAAAAATGTTGTTCCAACCAGTTCGGCTCTTTGGACATCATGGAGCCATTCCTACGAAATGTCTTCCTCCGACCACTGGCATGCATGCGCGCGATGTACATACATGTACCGAGTAGTACGGTGTACTGCTGTTGTCGCAATAATGATGTGCTATTATTGCAACTTACGCGGCTACCGCTGAACATACACTCTTTGCGTACAGTACTGTACGAGTAAAGAGACGTAATTTCTTTTTTTTTTTTTTGCCAACAATTTAAGAAACAAATTTTTTCCCACCACCAAGCGGAAGCACACCTTTACCGTCCCTCAAACGGCTCCTCTGGAGCTGTACGAGTTACGCGCGAGGCTATAACTGTGATCTCTGTAATGGATAGTTTCAGCACTGCGGTGTACAAATGCACGGAACAAGTATCTGGGGCACTCTCGGTACGGCCTGTATGCGGATCGGTTTCCGGTGATTAACCGTGGTACACATTATTGTTACCGTGCACGCGTGCGGTATAATGTTATGCGGCACACACCGGTGATGGTCGCGGCGCCGGTCGGAAACAGCGATTTCTCCGGCACCGTTTCCGTCCACGACCAAACACTATCGGTCCGCAATAACATGTGTACATTTTCGATTTCGACCGGCCCAATTCGTATTCAAACGCGTACACGTTTTAAAACGAATCCCAGAGGCCGAACCCGCTGCAAGGGTAGATAACGAACGAACAATGTGCGCGCGCGTAGGACGTGCAAGACATTATAATATTATTACACTCGGGGACGGAAAACAATCGTATCTAATCTCCACCGTATAGGTTCGCGTTTATTTTTTATTTAAACATTTTTTTTTTTTTTTTTTTTGTATAATTTCATTCGTCCACGATTACTGCCGCCGCCGACTGTTTGTGAACGGTCACTGTGAGTCGACGAACCGTTGTTGTGCACTAAAGTTAATAAGTATTTTTTTCAATTTTCTTTCACTGTAAACGTGCGCGAAGAAATCATTCGATCGCAGCGTATTATGATGAGTCGGATGAACTACCTGACCGTTTGTATTTTACTCATCGCTGCTTTATCAATGCTGCAGTCACCGGTAAGACGCATTGCAACCCCTAAAACCATTTATCCATCCCTTATATTTTATTTTTATATGTATTATTATTATCATCATCGTTTTATTCCACATTCCCATTCAACTGCGCAGGGGCTGGGTGTATAATGCAATATAATAATAGTATATTGCGTGCCTTTGAATACTACCTTCGGGGAAATTCCACAAAAGATGGTTTCATCAACAGGTATAACCGTCGTTTCATTATACACACATGTTATATTATATATGTGTGCACTTTATCGCCCCCACGCAGGATTTTCAATATGCGGATGTTTTCAAAATACACTGGACAACATAATATATTATATTTTAACAGACACCCCGCATATTTCTATGATTCGATAAAAACGGACGAACATTCAACCGACAACGTTCGGTTTTCAGACGTTCGTAGTGCGTGGTGTACAATACAATTTTGTTACGTTATATTTGCTGTTATTTATCTTTTACGATCACCACACATTTTTCAATATAAAATACAATATTATTACGATGCAATAAAAATATTATCAATCTTTTACGGCCGATTCTCGAAGTGAACGAGGTCGATATTTAATTAATCATTCGTTATTTACCTACATTTTTATCGTCCAGTTTAAAAGTTGTAACAGACGTTCTCATAACTTATCTAGCCGTTTTCTACTTCTTCAGTTCTACAAATGTATTAAACTACAGTATGCAACACGTGACGAGTTCTTTAATGGTTATAAATTATAATAATAAATTGTACGAAAAATAAAAGCAATGCTTCGGAGTAAAATATTTTTAATTCAGTATCATAATATAAACGATAAACTACATTTTGACATGTATTTATCCTTATTAAACAATGTTAAACAGGGTATAATTACAAATGTTATGATTTATAAAAATCTTTAAAGAAAATTGTTATTTTTTAAATTACGAAAGACATATTAAAACAAAGAAAATATATTTTATTTGTTAAACATTCCTTTTAAAAACGAATATTAGAAAAAAATCTTCTTACACCTTTTAAATTTTGTTGTTCTAAACTCCAAGTAAATTGTTGATAACTATTCTAAACTGTAAATTGTAGATTATGTAAATTTTCTAAATCGTATAATGTAAGCGAAAATAATGGTTATCGTAAGAACATTATCTTGCAGTATACTAACCATTATATATTATTTAAAATATATTAGCAGCTATCGTGGGCGAGTAATCGAGATGAGGTTATTGTTTATAATATATTATGATGGCGTTCACCGTTCACCACTAGCTGTTCCACCGATTTCAAAATGGAATCATGCCAAAAGTCAAAACGGTCGGCGAATTTCCTTACACTAGCGTTCATGATCTAAATGTTATGTCGACCCAACTTGAAAATTAGAACACATTTAATCGTTTTTCGTTCAAAAACAACCTATAATGGGTTTTACATTATAATAATACAGTTCTAAACCCCGTTAAAGCCGAGTAGACGGTCTGCAGTACTACAGTAGACGTAGGTAGACGTTAAAAATAAATAAATTATGTCCGTTACAGAAGAACTGCGCCTTCGTGAAATATAAAATTTTCTTTTCGCGCAATACGTTTTCCACGCGCGTCTTCACGATTGATTTCACCACGTCTTGAACATTACCGAATTAATGTAGTATAACAATAATCATATGGCAACAGATCGTCATCAATGTCAGTCCGTACCTCTTCAGCGTTCCAATGTAATAACTACAGGCTGAAAGTAATTTATCGTCTCCGGTGATACTAAATACGATACGTCCGCTCCCCTGTCGCTTGATCGATGTCTTATACGGGTGTACGTGCTTAATCCTAGGTGGAAAATGTGTTTTTCTTCAGGTAATAACTCCTCGTGCGCAGTCCCCGCACGACGACATATTACTAGGACCTATATACGTATACCAAAAATGTACGAAACCGAAATAGTAGGTATTAGCTGTAAACAGGGCTGATTTGTAAAAATGAAAAAAAAAAAAAAACGTTTCCTCGTATAATATAATATATATAAATATTGTTATTAATGAGAATTAATTCTTCGTCCATTACGCTTTTACGCACGAAAATTTAACTCGAACAACGATAAACCTAATACCACGGCTCTGCACGGATTATAATTAATTAAACATCGATATTGCAACCGTTACGAGCATTGTACAACGAACGATTTTGATGATTATTATTTTCTATTTTTCAACGGTAGCATTGAATTAATTATACATTATTTTTTTTTTTTTTTTTTTAACCCGGTGCTAAAGTCACCGTACAGCGCAGCCTACTGCGGTGGTGCGGGTTACAGTTTGAATACGAAAATTACAGTTATACGTTGTTGATGGAAAAACAACTAATGATTTTCGTTGATCTATCGTTGATCTACACCTCCGGGCATTCTTGTATAAAAACACTGTGACGTACACGCGCGGACGCATTCGAGAGGTGTATTATGTGAAACTCACCACATCGGACGTACGAAAAATATCGGATCGACGTACACGACACGCGCGCACGATTGCTACGCGGCCCGGCAGCGTCCGCGGAAATGGCGTTTTTCGTTTAATAACGTTTTAAGACGAATACAATTTGTAAACGAATCGCGAAACGCGTGCACTGTGAACCCGCGAAGAACTCGATTCCACTAAGTGCTTCGGAGTACACAATATCCTATTACGGGTCGACGGGGTCGTACGTATTGAGTGTCTCAGAAATGTATTTATCAAAACGTCTGAAATATTGCGCTGCGTTCAGACGTATTTAGACGTATATGGATTTTTCGCCGTTTACACGTTCAGCCGCTCGGGCGTTGGGGAAATGTTCGAAATCTTAATAACGGACGCACCGCAATATTAACAACACATCGTGCGTGGAGTATGTACCTATGCTACGGATCGGTGACCGACGATAAGACGAGAGTTATGAGATGAGATAGTTCGACGGTGCGTTAACGTTTTCACGGTAAGCCTTGCGCGGTCTAGTACCATAATAATCGTCAGTGTTCTTGCGTGGAAGATGAACGTACTCGTGAAAATGTGAAATAAACGTGCAATTTATGCGATCGGATTTCGACCAGTGCGTTCGGAAAGCTTCGAGCGTGCGCTTCACATTGGAATTTCTATACATCACAATCCGCGTATAACGTGAAAGTATTGTACTCGGCCTGATTAGTACGTTTTGCGCTGCGGTAATGAAAAAATATTTGGCTTACGTGATACGTTAATAATTGAAAAATCACAACACCGACGTGTATTTATTATTTTGTATTAATATGCGGTTCTGGTAACAACAACAATAACTGTAATAATAAGGGGATAATGGTATACGCGCTTGTATGTCGTTCGGCAATCACGAGAAATCGTTGTGAACCGTCGGAACAATTTTTCGAGAGCTGTTGAAAATATATATATATATAATTCATTGTTCCTGTGCAATGCATGTAAACGTGCAAATTTATGTGTGCATGCGTATCGTATTATTTTTTAAGTGACTTCGCGTAACTACACTTTTGGGTATGTTATTAATATTATCATCAATACATTCCGTCATTTAAAATGCCGTCAATGACCACGAGTTCTAGTATATTAAATATTCTTTATTTAATGAGGATCATGCTTGAAAAAAAATGATAAATAATAAAAATACTAATGGAGAGAGTGAATTCATGAAAGGAAAATCCACTATAGACCATATTTCGCCCTTATATATAATTCTATTAGATATTATTATATAATACATATTATATATATAATTCGACCTTAGAAAAGTTAGAAAAATTCTATGAACATGACATAAATCTACACATGATTATCATAGATTTCCAGCAAGCCTATGACAGCATTATTAGAAACCGATTATGACCAACACTTATACATCTTGGAATACCAAAAAAATTAGTAAACCTAATAAGCAGTTGCAATTCAAACACATTTTGCAAAATACGCTTTCTTGGTGAAACATCAAAGGCATTTGAGGTCAGATGTAAACTAAAACTAGGGGACGCGCTATCTCCCGCACTCTTCAACGTAGATGTTAAATAAGTCATAAGAGATATGCGAAAAGACCAAGACATGGAAGTATTAGGACGCACAACTCTCTTAGAATACGTGAATGATATTGTAATAATTGAAAATTCAAAAAGGGAAGTAGAAAAGTCGATAAGAAAGCTCATAGTGAAGAGTAAATATATGGGCCTTAAAATAAAGAGATTAAATCTAGAATAAATGCAGTGAACCGATGGTATCACGCAATTAGTAAAATGTTCATATCAAAACTCCTTTCAAGAAACACAAAAAAAAAAATTACACATTCCCCAACTATCATGTACGGATATGAAATTTGGTCCAAAATACTTAGAAAAATATATGGGACTCTGTTCAACCCAAATATTGGTCTATACAAGCAGAGGAAAAACGCACTTAAGCATATTGTATAATTCACCCAATTTACATGATTTTCTGGGGTCAAAAAGGTTAAACTGGGCTGGACATTTATGGCGTGCAGAGGGTAGATTGATTAGACTGGTTTTCGTTAACAAGTTAAATAAGAAATGATCCGTGAGAAGACCACGACAACGATGGATGGATCGAGTAAAGGATGACTCAAAAATATTAAGAAATGGAACGAATTTCGAAGATGCGAAGGATCGAGAACGTTAGAAAGCTCTGCTAGAAGCTGCAAAACACCTGAATGACGCGTGAAACTAGAGGGGAAAAAATGGAGATAGTCTAATTAATCTTCCTGTATAAAAAGTCAATAGTTTTCTCTTAAAACATATACGTATACATGTATACGTTTTTTACTAGCCGACAATTTCTAATCCCTTTCGGTCTTTTTTTTCCGCCCTGAAAACAGCCTTGAAACTCTAAAGTTTAAAGTATGCAATAATTATGATTTCCTACGGACCACAAGTACACCAGCGATGTACCTGGCCGCAATTATTCAAAATCGAATAATACTGCGCAGTTAGAGTCCAACGTATATTTTTGCATACATATTTTTACGACTTTTCT